TGTTTTAAATTATCACCTTATACTTTCCATTTGTTTGAATTAACTCCTTTGTTTTTTGCGATGGTAACAATTAATATATCTGTTCAAATTTTGAATAACTGTGTCAACACTCACATCTTTAATTTTATTATTCTTCCCAAATTTGAATTTCACACAGACGCGGTGATGCATGGGACCAGGCCAAACACTGAATGTTATTGTCTCTGCTGATCAACATGTAGGAAAATACTCCATGGCTATGGCACCTTAAAGTCTGGCAGGATTGTAAATTATCAAAAGCGTTTCAGCCATTGCCTGCTTCGACTATATAGGCGCTGTATCTGATAGCATATATTTACCAGTTAAATTGCCTACTAATCTTGGTGATAAACTGGCTATTAAGACAGTCATGGACGGATTAAGGAGTCTAAATCAATTCATTGTTTCCAAAAAAAAATTGATAGAAACCTATTCATCACCATTGGATTGAATGTTCAAAAGTGTCATTCAATGACACTAAAGCAAAGCTACCAAGCCATGAATACTAGGGTGATGGCAGCTTCAATGAACAATATGTTTCCTTCACCCCAATATTCTCAATCCTGGAAGCTTATTATAAGAAAATAGAAGGATCATATATTGAAGATTTTCCTGATGTGCCCCCTAAAGTTCTATGACTTTGTTGATGGTGCCCTTAATAACGTTACACAGTGATGAACTCAGAAAATTTTATTTAGGTATCCATATTTAATCAGAATATTTAATGGAGGGGTTCGGGGTCAGTGCCTCCGAAAAAAAATATTTACACAAAGTTTTAAATGCATTAAAAAATAAAAGAATATAAACAAAAAAGGAATTTATATCCCTTAGGTTACTTGAACAAATTTTTTTGTCATGTTAAGAAAAAGATAAGACCAATTTATTGAATAATGTGTCATTTCACTTTCTTTAATATTATATAACTTATCCTTTTCTTAATATGACAAAAAATTTCTCATATAATATGAGGAATATAATCCTCAAACAACAAAAGAAAAAAAAAATTCGACTTAACATAAAAAATATAATTAACTTAATGACATAAAATCAATAAAATATAAGCAGTAAATAAAATGTGTTTCTTTCTTAGTTCATGTGCTTGCAATGCAGCTACTAAAATCACTCCTTGAATGACATTCCTAATTAATTAAAATATATATATCTTCTTTACTAAAAAAAGTGTATACCAAATTTATGTGTGCACTTGCACACATTGACAACCAAATAGGTCCGCCAATGACGTTACATATGACACACAATCATTGAATGGGACTCGAACAAAGGTACTTGAATATGGTAGCAAGGTGAATTTCATTCTACAGGACAATGGGACAGTCAACACTGAAAACCACCTGATTCACTTCGATTGGCTACCGCTTTTATGTTGTAGGGTACGGCACAGGCAACTATAACCTATTAACTGCATGATGCATTTACAGTTCGCTCATTATACATGGTCCAACTATTGATTCAAGAAGCTCGTAGTCGATTAGGGTTATGGCCCCCCAATTGTTGAAAAGAGCAATGATTTGAAATATAACAAATTTAAATCGAATCCAAGTCCCAATAAAGCAGCAGATGTGACTGTGATTTGTTTGGAAGAAAAGGAAAGCAACACATTTGGCGTGATTTGAGATTAAAGATTTGGGATGTATTTTGAATGATTTAATTGTAATTATTTATTTATTTTTAGAATCTAATTACTGTTATATTTATTTTAGGAACTTTCTTATTTTTAGGATTTTAGATTTTTGAATTTTGAATCAATTTGTAATTAGTCTATAAAAGAGTGCTTATGACCCTTCTTCTAGGAGTTGAATTTTGTTATTTGTTAATTGAAATTGAGAATCAGAGGGCTACTCTTTTATAAAAATCTCAACTTTCTGTTTAGCCACTTTTCTATGCGCTTTCGGCATCATTTGGTATCAGAGCACTAGGTTGCCTTCAACAAATGGCTGAACAGAATCGAGGATGTCGACGACGGCGGAGTTACAAGGGTAGAGAACGTGGATTCGTTCCTGAAGAATATAGACAACTGCGTCAGATTGACCCGCGAGATATAGAAAATGAAGAGCTCGGAAGGCGGATCCATGATTTTAAGCAACAACTTGAGCAAGCGTTGGACAAGAAAATCCAAGTTTTGAAGCGACTATGTGTGCAGGCACAGAGAAAAAGAATTCAAGATTTGGAGCGATGACTCGTGCGTGAAAATCCAAATTTTGAAGCAAACTCTTGTGGAGGTGCAGAGCATGGAAATTCAATATTTGGAGTAGCGACTTACGCGGACAAAGTTGGCCATTCAATCCGAAGAAAGAATGGAATTAGATTACGCATCTGATGACGAAGATGAGAACCTCAATCCCTTGAGGATTCTAAACCAGGGACAAAATTGGGAAGTACGACCTGGAAATCAATCCACTTTTCAAGATATCGAGATGCAAATCAGCATTCCTGACTTTGATGTCTATGATCATAATCCAGTTTGTGATGATGATCCGATCTATGATGATGAGCCGATCTATGATGATAATCCAATTTATGATGATTATCCGATTGTTGATAATTATCCCATTTACGATGATTATCCATCTTATGATAAAGATTCAGTTTATGGTGATAATTCGGTCTATAATAAATCTGATGGTGAATCATATTATGAAGATTTAATAGAGGAAAATTTATCATTTGAATTTTTGTCTAAAGAAATTGAGATCAGTGGAGATAAACAAGATTCAAGGACGAATCTTTTCCTAGCAGGAGAGAATGATGAACTTACAGTTGACCCATTGTGCATGGCCCAACTATTGATTCAAGAAGCTCATAGTTGACTAGAGTTATGGCCCAATAAGTATGACTCAATTGTTGAAAAGAGCAATGATTTGAAATAGAACAAATTACAATTGATTCCAAGATCCAATAAAGCAGCAGATGTGACTGTGATTTGTTTGGGAAGAAGATGAAAGCAACACATTTGGCGTGATTTGAGGTTAAAGATTTGGGACGTATTTTGAATGATTTAATTATAATTATTTATTTATTTTTAGAATCTAATTACTGTTATATTTATTTTAGGAAGCTTTCTTATTTTTAAGATTTTAGATTTTTGAATTTTGAATCAATTTGTAATTAGTCTATAAAAGGGTGCTTATGACCCTTATTCTAGGAGTTGAATTTTGTTATTTGTTAATTGAAATTGAGAACCTGTAATATCCCAAGAGCTGGCAAGGGCAGGGAGTGATCGTCGGTGCGAAAGGGCACGGACAATGAGCGGCTTATGCCAAATCTTGCAGCTTGGGGGTTTATGAATGAATCGAATCAACACCCGAAAGAGAGGGATTACAGAGACTGTGCTGGTATGGGACGGTACAGTTAGGAATGACTTATAAGAATTGATTGGTACTACCTATACTAACAAGATGCATCTACTTTTTGGTAGCCCGGATCGGAAGAACTCCACAGTTAAGCGTGCTTGACTTGGAGCAATTCTGGGATGGGTGACCTCCTGGGAAGTTTTCCTGGGAAGTATGCGAGTGAGGACAAAGCACACTGAAAAGTCTTGTGTTAGTGTGTGGGGACAGTCATTGATTCTTGCAAGTGGCCGGGCGTTACAAGTGGTATCAGAGCAGGGCCTCTCTTCCAGTACGGTGTGGTTCGAGGACGAACCAGGCGGAAGCTGGTGGGCATGTAACATCCCAAGAGCTGGCAAAGGCAGGGAGTGATCGCTGGTGCGAAAGGGCACAGACAATGAGCGGCTCATGCCAAATCTTGCAGCTTGGGGGTTCATGAATGAATCGAATCAACACTCGAAAAAGAGGGATTCCAGAGACTGTGCTGGTATGGGACGGTACAGTTAGGAATGCCTTATAAGAATTGATTGGTACTACCTATACTAACAAGATGCATCTACTTTTCGGTAGCCCGGATCGGAAGAACTCCACAATTAAGCGTGCTTGACTTGGAGCAATTCTGGGATAGGTGACCTCCTGGGAAGTTTTCCCGAGAAGTGTGCGAGTGAGGACAAAGCACACTGAAAAGTCTCGTGTTAGTGTGTGAGGACAGTCATTGATTCTTGCAAGTGGCCGGGCGTTACAGAACCGGAGGGCTACTCTTTTATAAAAATCTCAACTTTTTATTTAGTCACTTTTCTATGCGCTTTCGGCACCAGTGCTGATCCCCATACATACATGAACACAATTGAAGTTTCGATTGGTGGATGGACAACAATACATTTTGTTTCTGTTGTTTCAGTTATCAATCAAATCAGTAGAAATATTAATATAAATAAACAAAAAAATATTTTTGCAGTTACTGCAGATAAGTTATCTACATTTACTCTCAAAACAACGTCGTTTTAGGATTAAAATATTAAAAAATTATAATTATAAAGACTATAATAATCCTGAAATAAATTAAAATTACAAAAATATCATGATTTTCGTCCCAAAACGACGTCGTATTGGGCTTACTGCAGATAACTTATCTGCAATAACTGCAGAAAAAATAAACCCATAAATAAATTAAGAACGTGGAAGAGAATGAAAAGAAATTCTGCAAAAAAAGTGTAGAATGCATAGAAAAATTAGAGATTTGGAAGATTAATACCGTTAGTTAAAATTTTAAATTTTAATTGTTAATTTGTTGTCATTATAAAATATAAGGATGTTAATTTGTTGTCATTATAAAATACAAGGAAATAAATTGAAATAACTAAAAATACAAAGTGATAATTCAAAACATAACAAAGTTTTAAAGAGGCTAAATTATATTCTAGCCTTATTTTATTATTATTAAGCAAACTTCTCTCTTTATAAGAACATTGAAAATAAGGAAGAGTGGGACTGATCACAATAAAATGAATAAAATTTTCACCCAAAAAAGGAAGAAGTAGAGAGAATAACAAAAAAATAAAAAAATAAAAAGCAAAACCCTGGTCCTTAAAGGCTTAAACCCTAACTGATATTGCTTCACGGTTGCGGTAAGCCGGTAATACCCAATGGAACCCTTTCGATTGAAAGCAAACTATCGCTGCGTTCCGATTCTGCAGCAGTTCTACACCGGCGGGCCCTTCGTCGTCTCATCGGACGGCTCCTTCATCGCATGTGCATGTGGCGACTCCATCAAGATCGTCGATTCCGCCAATGCATCCATTAGGTCGACCATCGACGGCGACTCCGAAACAGTAACCGCCTTGGCTCTCAGCCCAAACGATACCCTACTATTCTCTTCCAGCCACAGCCGCCAAATCAGGGTTTGGGACTTGTCCACACTCAAATGCGTGCGCTCGTGGAAGGTACGACTTTCAAAATCAGATTCAATGTTTGTGTGTATTTGTGTAACTAACAGCGTTTGGTTCGGTTAGGGTCATGATGGTCCCGTTATGTGTATGGCGTGTCACCCTTCTGGGGGGTTGCTTGCTACTGGGGGAGCTGATAGGAAGGTCCTCGTATGGGATGTGGATGGTGGCTATTGTACTCATTACTTTAAAGGTCACGGTGGAGTTGTTTCTTGTGTTATGTTCCATCCCGATCCGGAGAAACAACTTGTAAGTTCCATGCTTAATAATGGTTTGATTTTTTCTGCAGTGTAATTGAATGCCTTGGTACTGTTTGTGCCAGTTGATGGGTTTGTTCAAAAGTGAATTAAATCAGAATATGGACACAATGTTTTGTGAGTTACACGTTAACGTTAATTGAAGGAGGAGCAAATTTTCCCTTCTGTATGGAACAGAGTGGTTGAGGATGGCAGGGACAGGAGGAGTGTTATTTTGATTAATGTTGATGCAATTTTGGTTTTTGTTATTTGGTTATATGTTTTTCATTTTGGATTACAACTCATGAATTTTTTTAATTTGTTTTTTTGGTACTAAAAATAATCATGAATTGTAATCTGAAATGAAACATTATAATTCAGAAGATGGAAGTTAGTGTAACAACTTATGAATTTTGAATAGCAAGAAGATGGAAGTTAATGTAACATCAGAATTCACAAGGAGGGATGGGCTTAATAACATAACACTCTAGTAACGGAATTGATATGATTGTTTGTTTCTAATCCTTTAAATGCATGTGTGAATTTTGTTTATCCCTACCCTATTCCTTGTTTTCAACAATTCCAAAGTGTTGATTCCCCCTTTCTTCTTATATTCAACTGATCATGATGAGATTGGTGTCCACAGCTTTTTTCTGGCAGTGATGATGGTGGAGAGAATGCAACTGTTAGGGTTTGGGATGTTTCCAAGACCAAGAAAAAGAACTGCATTGCAACACTGGATAATCATCGCTCGGCCGTTACTTCTATGTCAGTATCTGAAGATGGATGGACATTGCTTAGTGCTGGAAGAGATAAGGCAGGCTCCATAACGCTCTGTCTGACTTTTTGTTTCAATTTACTTGTGACACATGTTTTGCATCATGAGCTTATTCTTTACTTTCTTCTCTTTAATTAATTTATTTATTCATATCTGGATTTTCAAGTTTGTGCCTTTATCTTTTTGCTGGAGCGAAAGCAGCAGAGTCTCCATTAAATTTTTTAATACACCTTCTGAGTGTTAAGTTCTCTAAGCATTTATCTTTTTTTCTTGGAATTTTGAGTGAAATGAATCCTTAATTTACATTTTGCAAGATTTCTCAGGAAGAAATTTTTAATGAATATGCCAACTTTAATGGATTTAGTCTACTAAATTGATAAATTGGTATGCGGATTATTGACAGGTTGTAACATTGTGGGATCTTCATGATTATAGCAACAAGAAGACTGTCATCACAAATGAGGCAGTTGAAGCTGTTTGTGTAATTGGTGCTGGAAGTCCTTTTGCTTCATCTCTTGATTCATATCGTCAAAATGCAAAAAAAGGAGCTGGCTCGCAAGCATTCTATTTTGTTACAGTTGGTGAACGAGGCATTGTGCGCATATGGAGTTCTGAAGGGTAATATATGATGATTTCTAATTAGTTTAAATATTTATAGTTCAACAACATTTTGCATTAGTTATACTTAGTTAATGAAAGACTTCTAAATTTTGGGAGGTATGCAAGGACTTGGGTTAACAACATGGTAACTGAATTCTGTTTGTTGCTGGGGATTCATTCTAATGGGGCAGCTTGTATATAATTTGGCACACTTAAATTTGTTATGTAAATATTCTATACTTAAAAAAATGAAGGACCTCAAAATTTGAAAGCTGTGTTTATCAGGATGGATCTGTGTGCTGCCTCATTAGTTTTTTTGTATTGACGTGAAGGACCTCAAAATTTAAATGCTGTGTTTATCAGAATGGATCTGTGTGCCGCCTCATTAGTTTTTTTGTATTGACAGTGCAGTTAGCATGTTTGAGCAAAAGGCCTCAGATGTCACAGCCAACATAGATGAAGATGGGTCACGTAGGGGCTTTACTTCTGCTGTTATGCTTGCCTCAGATCAAGGATTGCTTTGTGTGACTGCAGATCAGCAGTTTCTGTTTTATTCTCTGGAATGCACTGAAGAGTTGTTGCAATTAAGTCTAACCAAAAGACTTGTGGGATATAATGAAGAGGTTGTGGATATGAAGTTTATTGGGGATGATGAAAAATTCCTTGCTCTTGCTACAAATATTGAACAGGTATGTAGATGTGTATTTGTACCTAGTAATGTATAAACTGTTGTGGTTCAAGTAGAGTTTTACTTTTTAGCAATTCAGTCAATTTTAACATATCTATGCTGAATATAATGCCAACTTTTCCTTGACTGCAGGATATTTTTTTCATTCAGTTGTTTATTTTTGTAATTTTTTTTTTCTCGTCACTGCTCTCAAAATTTGATTTAGTGTGTTCTTGAAATAAATGTAACTAGTGCTGAATATGGCATTTATTCATGACCCATGTCTCTATTTATAAGGATGGAAAATAATGTTATGCATTCAAGACGGATAATATAAGAACTTTAACAATATTTTTATTTATATAAATTTGGGAATGGGATTTCATTTGTAGAGATTTTTCATTTTGTAATTGATTAATAAGACCATTTTAAAATCTTCAATTCACAAGGAAAATGTGTTGCATTCATATCCAAGATAATTTTGCAATGTTGTCTTATTTATGCTTTAATGAGTGGTGACATATCAAAATCTCATTTGATTTTTTATGAAAGCCATATATTTAGAGCAAGCAGGATTAAAAAGCTTTTCTGGGTATTTGAAAAGCCCATTTCTAGTTTTGCTGTTGTCATTGAAGTCGAGAATAGTTAAAATATCTCATAACCTTGTATTTGGATAAAGTGATAGACATGTTTTATCTTTGTCTAAATGTTATCTAATAGCTTCTTAGTGAGTCTAATCTAAGTGATTCAGCAAGTCATTGGAAAAAGTAAAGAATAATAACACGAAAACAGAAAAAGAAATGAAATCTTAGTCAATAGTATGTTGCAACTTGCAAAAACTTGCTTAATATCACACAAGCAAACTAATGTCCTAATTTTTTAACAATTTTTGTTAATCAAAAGTGCACTATTGTTATAACAAAAAGGATAAAGGAAACATTGACACCCAGTTATTTGGATTTGAATGATTGATGAATGTAAAAATTTCAGTTTTGGATTCACAACCCTTCAATATACTTTGTATATTCCATTTTTTAGTCTAGCAAGAATAATGTTTACGGTTTAATGTGCCTGGAGCTCTGCAGGTTCGAGTTTATGAACTTGCATCCATGTCTTGTTCCTATGTCTTAGCTGGTCATACTGAAATTGTTCTATGCCTTGACACCTGTGTATCAAGTTCTGGAAGAACACTAATTGTGACTGGAAGTAAAGACAACACTGTAAGTTTTCTCCTCTTTGGTTTAAAGATTGTTGCAAAGACTTTGAATTTCTTCAATGGGAACTAGTGCTTGAGGTGCTCTTGTTTAAATGTTACAATTGGTGCTCTAGTATGTTTATAACATGCTTGTAGTGCACTGTGTTCAGGTCTTTTACATAGGAATCTGACATTACATAACAAATGTTCTTTCTCTGTATAGGTTAGGTTATGGGAATCAGGAAGCACAAGCTGCATTGGAGTTGGTATAGGTCACATGGGAGCTGTTGGAGCCATTGCCTTTTCAAAAAGAAAGCGAGACTTCTTTGTCAGTGGCAGTAGGTGAGTGTTGATGCATTTTTTTCTATTTATTCTTCATAGCAAGAATTTCTTTACTTTTTTACTTTCCATAATTTCCTGCATTTTGGATTCCCTTTATCTGGGTTTTTGTTATGTTCAATCTTTTAATATGAATTAATTAGTATAAAATGAAAGAGCATTGAAGTTGTAACAAGAAATGTTATGCCATGGGGTTTATATTATATCTATTCTCAAGTGATAATGTTATAAAGGAGGAAAAGAATAAGCAATCTTATTGCTGTTTTTGCTACTACTTTGGTTCTCACAAATATTGACTTCAACTAGTTAAAAAACTGTATTTTCAAGAACATTTTCGTGTTGAGGTTTATTTCTGTCTATTGTCCTGTTTACTTCAAGTCAAAATCCTTTTGTGTCGCTGCAACGGTGATAATTTGATTTTACATGTTAAAAAATGTAATGGTTGGCCTTACATGTGGTGTTTTCTCTCTTTAAAGACAATGCAAATGAAAAATGCCAGCAAACTTCCTCCTGTCATTCGTAAAATTGAATCACCTCAACTTGTTTCAAGTTTCAACATTTGAATCATTAAAAGAAAATGGTGTTGAATTTAATCTTCTGTTCCTTCCCTTTATATGTTCTTCACTCAATCATGACAGACAGCTGCATTTATCTCTTATCAAGGTATTCTGCTACCAATGGATCATTTTACCCAAACATCAAAATTTGACTTTCCTGTTCTTTCTGCTATATGAACCAAATGTTGTAGTATTTTACTAAGTTTACTGTTGAATCCTTTGGTTTTAAACGTGTAAGCTTTTGGATGGTACTATATTGTTCAAATTTCTCTCTTATCAATCTGTGTCAATGTTTCTCAGTGATCATACTCTTAAGGTGTGGAGTATGGATGGTCTCTCTGACAATATGACAGCACCGATTAATTTAAAAGCAAAAGCTGTTGTCGCAGCTCATGATAAAGATATTAATTCTGTAGCTGTTGCTCCAAATGATAGTTTAGTATGTAGTGGTTCTCAGGTTGGTATTATATCTTCTTGCAGCTTTCTTTGACCTTCTAAATTAAGTGTTTTTATTCATTTGCAGAAAAAAGGACTTCCCCCTTAGTTGTCTATTTCTTATTATGGTTTCTATTGAGTGAAGAAATTTGAAGTCAATAGCTACTCATACTGGCTTCCTTCCTTTTTACTTTTCCTTTTTATTTTTTGAAGATATTATGGTTTTTCCACTGTAATTACCATTGATTTTCTTTTACTTGTCTCCCATTAGGATCGTACAGCTTGTGTTTGGAGACTTCCAGATTTAGTATCGGTAGTTGTATTTAAAGGGCATAAAAGGGGAATTTGGTCTGTAGAATTTTCTCCTGTTGATCAATGTGTCATAACAGCATCTGGCGATAAGACAATAAGGATATGGGCTATATCTGATGGCTCATGTTTGAAGACATTTGAAGGACACACTTCAAGTGTGTTAAGAGCATTTTTTGTTACTCGTGGAACACAAATTGTTTCCTCTGGTATGAGGCTCTCTGTAGCTAATTTTGTTCTTTTTAACATATTGATTGCATGTGTGATCAACTTAAATTAATGTTTCAGGTGCTGATGGCTTAGTAAAGCTGTGGACTGTAAAAACTAGTGAATGTGTTGCCACTTATGATCATCATGAAGACAAGGTGCCAGTTGATCCTTTGTTATATTCCATATATTCTGCTTTTTTTTTTTTTTAATTTTTAATGTCATAAATAATATATTTCTGTTTCTAGATTTATATACCCTGGAAATTGTGGTTCTGATGTGTAGCATGCTTAATGTTCTTGGAAGGAGAGCGTTGAAATTTTTTACAGTAAGAAACTTAAGCTTTGGCCTATTTAGGTCTCAGCCAGCAAATTATATAAATGCTGCCAAATTCTATGCGGAGCTGAACATTCAAATTATGCTTTCCTTGGTTACCCATTATTTCTGAAGCTTAGAGAAAAGTTTGAATCAAACTCACTAGTTTATATATATATATATATATATATATATATATATATATATATATATATTCCTTTAAGGGTTTATAGATTATATTTTGACAGTGACACATCTCTGGTTTTCTTCTTGATCCCTAACTAAGATAGTATATATATAATAGATGTTATCACTTATTTAAATACTTGGTCAATCATTAATGTCTTTCTAAATTCCAGCCGGAATAGATCTTAAGAATTAGTTAATTTGAGTAAGTAGCCCAATAGAGGCTGGGCTGCTATATACCTAAGTGCTTTGTTTTATTCATGATTTTTATTACAATGCAGTTGCAACCATAAGTTCTGTATGTAGCTACTTCTTTCCACTTTTCCTGCATTAAATTTTCCCTGACGCATGAAAGAATTCTAGGCTCTGTTTGATAACTGTTTTTAAAAATAGTTTTTTGGTTTTTAGAACAAAAACCAAAAAAACTCGTTTGGTAAGACTTGTTTTGTAAAAAATAATAATTAAAAACTGTAACTTTTTTTGTTTTTAGAATTAAATTTAGAGAACATGTCAGAGTTGTTTTTGTTTTCTGTTTTGGTTTTTAACTTTCAAAACAAAAAAAACATAGAAAACACTTGTTTTCATAACTATTCTACAAAATAGTTTTAAGAACAAAAAAATCAGAACACAATCAAACAGATCCCTAGTTTCTGTCCTTTTCTTTTTCTGACAAAATTTGGCTGCAGGTTTGGGCCTTGGCTGTAGGTAGGAAAACAGAAATGCTTGCAACTGGTGGCAGTGATGCTGTTGTCAATCTATGGTTTGATTCCACTGCAGCTGACAAAGAAGAAGCTTTCCTTAAAGAGGTGAGTAAAACAGATTGTACATTTTTTTTTTACCGAATATAGCACGGATGTTAAATCAAGGTTCGTATTTCATGGTTGTTCATGATATATTGATTGCTAAGATTCATTCTACAATTACCCGTTACATCATGCTCAAGCTTTTTTGTTGCTGTTTATATGAAGTTAAGGACCAATATCGGTAACAATCTATGAAATAAACTATATATCAGTCAAAATCATTAAATCAATTGTTCAGTTGTCAAGTATTTGTGCATCTTTCTTGCCATGAACCAACTCTGCTAAAAGCTTAAGCTGTTAGTTGAAGGCACATGAATGATTTTATATTTATATTTCAAGCATGTCTTCTCACGCAAGATCCCTTTGAACTTAAATGATGGGCAATGTATAAGATTGAACTCTAGACCATTCAATCATAGAGGCTCCAGCACCATGTCATCAACCAACTTTCCTAAAAGCCTAAATTGTTAGGTGAAGGCACATAAATGATTTTCATATTTATATTTCTAACATTTCTCATTTTTTCCGATAATCTCACGTTTCTTGCAAAAAGTGGAACATGAGGATGTTTTGTCTTAGAAAATCAGCTGCAATACCTCAATACTGTCTTAATTGGATGATCGCAGTTGTCTGTACATTTTTTGTTGCAAAACTCGAATCATGTACTCTTATAAAAAAAAGTGGTAAAGGGTGGTGTGAGAAATCTCCAAAACTTTCCAACCATTTAGCAAATCATGTTTTGTACTCTGGGTTTTCTTTTCTCAATATAGCAATGTTAAGTTAATGGTTATTAATTTTCACGATATTCTCTTGCTGACTTAGTTTTACAGAGTCTATTATATACAGTCTTCCAAGTGAAATATCCTTGGCTTTAAATCAATAAATTACAATGCCAGAAAACTCCTGATGTAGGCATTATTATTCTAGATCATATTTTCAGTTAGGGATAACTTTGTTTTTCTTCATCATACAGTATCTTAAGCACAACCCACATGTTTTAATGACATGACTTATTGAAGAAATGTTGTCTACAAACATCTATTTCTTAATTTGAAATAGCTTAGATTATGGATGATTGCCCAGATATATAACCTGAGGCATATATGTAATTTTTAGGATATATTTCATAAGAAATTATCTTTCAAATCACGTGTGCCCTGTGTTAAAAAAGCAATGTGATTTCTAATGTTGATGCAGGAAGAGGGGGTTTTGAAAGGTCAAGAGCTAGAGAATGCCGTCTCAGATGCTGACTATACTAAAGCAATCCAAATTGCATTTGAACTGCGCAAACCCCATAGACTTTTTGCGTTATTTGCACAACTTTGCAGGTTAGCAATAGTTTATTTTGTTCTGTAAATCCTATTGGTATATACACTTGACTAATTTTTTCTGCAGGAAGAGAGGGACTGAAGATCATATTGACAAAGCACTTAAAGCCATGGGTAATGAAGAGCTTCGAATGCTATTTAACTATGTTCGAGAATGGAATACAAAACCAAAACTCTGTTATGTTTCACAGTTTGTGCTTTTCAGAGTTTTCAACATCTTTCCTCCAACAGATATTGTTCAGGTGCCTTTTTTTTTTCTTCTTTAAAAGGCTTCGTGCAAATGGTCATGCCTTTGTTACCTATTGTGTGCTTACTGACTAAATTGTTGGGGCTGATTATTGAATGCGGTTTTTGACTTCTTACATTTACTGGTTTTACTTTCTTTTTGAGAGCTGCATATGCTGCCTGAGGTATTTAGTTAGACTTCGATACTGAATACTGATCATTGTATGAGGTTGAGTCTGGAGTAGTGCTAAAGCTACTCCTTAGTGACTGAAAGGTCATGAGATTGAATACAGAAAGCAACCTTTTTCCAAAAATATAAAGCTATGAACAATGATTTCTTCACCCCTACCCTTGCAAGCCGGGTTTTCATTGGAGGTTTTTTTTTTTTTTTTTTTTTATATTGATTTTGTTTATTGCTGGTTAGGTTGTTCTTCACTTCAATGCAAATGAGAAAATCTAGAATATATGATAGTTGGCACTAGGACAAACTCTATGTTGATATATGATAAAATGATATCAATTGAATTCTGTATAATGAAAACTTTTAATCTAAATGTGGATTTTGGTGAAAGATATTTATATTACTGAGTTATCCATTGCTTTAACAAAGTTTAACACTGGTCTCAAGGGATTTTGGCCTATATACATTGACTAAATTTCTCAGAATTTTTTTTTTAATTACATCAGGATGTTTTTGTTATATCATATATTGATCGCAAGTTTTGGAGGAAAGAAACAAAAATTTCATGTTTGACGGACATTTTTTTGTGGGACATTTCAGATTAAAGGGATTGGTGAACTTCTTGAAGGTCTTATCCCATATAGTCAGAGGCACTTTGGCAGGATTGACAGACTTGTTAGAAGCACATTTTTATTAGACTACACACTCTCAGGAATGTCAGTTATTGAACCAGAAACTCAACAGATAGAATCAAAGACTGAGTTTCCATTGCAGTCTGAAATCGACATTCTAGACAAAGAAAATGGCATCGAGGAGGAAGATCACACTCATGAAAATGCTTCTTCTAAGAAAAGGAAATCAAACAAATCAAGACGTGGTTCCCATAAAAAAGTCAAGGATTTAACTTACAAAAAGGTCGAATCTATACAATTACAGGCATAGGATTGGTGCGGTGCTTTCATCCTCTCATGTATCAACATCAACAACACCTTTATCCCAAATTAATTGAGGTCGGTGGTAATCCTCTCATGTATACATATGTTTATTGATGGATGGAAGAGTTGTTTTGGTTCATTCATATTTTGAAATCTTGCTGTCATGAGAAATTATGTAAGCCAAAATGTTGCTGTCAATTGAGAAGATGTAAGCTTAGCCACTGCAATTGTATCTGTATTTTATTCATTCTTGTAGATTAGTTTTAAAGTCGTGCTCTCGATGTGACATAAAAATGTACCTTTAGCTGTCGAAAAAGAAAGAATTCAGAAGCGCTGTCAACTTTAGTATATGAATACAACAGTTTATTCTTACTCTAATTCGAGGCAGTCGCAGGCAGGCAGCACATTTGTCGCGGATTATTCTCACGATGTTCTGTTCCTTGTTCCATTTTGGTTCTTAAATTTATGGAAGCAAAAACCTTTTTATTCCAAATGAGAATAATATTTATTTCCCTTCTGCTCTGAATGTATTGTGTGCGCTAACATTATCATATTACTATATTTGTTTGCTATGCTGCTAAGAACTTGTGTCGAAGTACACATTCAGATATTTGTGCGTGATACAGAATTGTGGTTCGGATGCCAGGCAAAGATTATTATTATGGTCATGGTGCTCGTCGTGTTTCCTCAACATTGCAGTGATATATAGATATGGATTTAGGAAATTTAGAATATTATTGATAAACATTCTAACCACATTATACTATTAGATAAACATGTTTGTAAAGTGTATATTTTTTAGGGACAAGATATTATATTTATTTATTTTCATGTTTATTTTATCTATTATTTTTTAATATCATTAGATCATAATTTTAATTTTAATTAATTTTTTTTTTGGTTGAGATTCTTGGAAAAAAGTAAATAAAGTAGAGATAAAAATAAAGATAGATAGGCATAGTATTCTATCTTATCTTTTAATTTATTAGTGATTGAAAACACATTATATAATATAGTTACTGGTAACGTAACTTTCCTTGCATCGCCACAACCTCTGCAATTCCCAAAAAAAAAAGACATGTTTGAGCGTGAAGTAGCAGCTCAGAGTCAGAGGTATCGTGTGGGCTATGCTCTCGAACCCAAGAAAATCGAAAGCTTCCTTAAACAGTCCCTCCTCGATTACGCGAACCAACACGGCATCGATCTCGTACAAATCGATCCCACCACGCCCTTAGGGGAACAGGGCCCTTTCCACTGCATCATCCACAAATTGCGAACCCAACAATGGAAGAAACACCTGAACGAATTCTCAGCGAAACACCCCAACACCGTCATCATCGATCCTCCTGAGTTGGTGGATCGGCTTCACAATCGGGCTTCCATGCTCGAGGCGGTGACCCAGTTGCAAAATGTCACCGTCGGGGTTCCGAAGCAAGTGGTCGTGAACGAACCGAAAGCCTTCAATTTCGACGAAATCGAAGAATTGGGTTTGAGATTCCCCCTCATAGCAAAACCCTTGGTGGCCGACGGCACTTCCGGTTCTCACAAACTCTGTTTGGTTTTCGACCGTGACGGGCTCAACGCGTTGGAGAGTTCCGTAGTGCTGCAAGAGTTTGTGAATCACGGTGGAGTTGTGTTCAAGATTTACGTTGCTGGGCAGCACGTGAATTGCGTAAAGCGCAAGTCTTTGGGTGATATATCAGAGGAGGAGCTGAGAACGTTGAAGGGGTTGGTGCCATTTTCTCGAGTATCGCACTTGAGCGTCCAAGATGAGGAAATTGAGAAAGCTGAAATGCCTCCTCAGAGTCTGATAGGTGAGTTGGGAAGAGCATTGAGGGATGCCTTAGGACTTAACCTTTTCAACGTTGATGTGATTAGAGATTGTAAAGATCGGGGAAGCTACTTCGTTATTGATATCAATTACTTTCCGGGGTATGCAAAAATACCATCTTATGAACCCTTTATCACCAATTTTTTGTTGGATGTTGTACTCTCCAAGACTGAGTAGCTGACTAGTTTTTTTTTTTCCTTCTTATTTTCTAGTAAATTTTGTTATGTTTTTTTAAGTTACCTAATTTGGCCGCTTTCTTTTTGTATGTTGTTTTCGAAAATGATTGATATGGCTTGATATTGCACCTAATATATTTGATAGGGTGAGGTCGTTTGCTAGATGTTTGGAGAAATTTTTTTATGCATGGAAATTAATATTATCATGAATGTACTGTGAGAAAGTGAATTTTTTAGAAATATGATAAAAAAACTGTTTGGTAGATGAAAATATTATTAAAAATGTTGACTCAAGTTTCATAATTTTATATTTGGTTGATTGTCAAATATCATTAGGAACATAGGATGATTTAAAAAACTACACTTGTGCCATCACTGCGCTATTGGTGCGGAAATAAAATATTGCTTAAAGACTCGGTGCTAATGGCTCGAGATCAAAATATTTTTTCATTTTTTGGAAATCTAAAAATACCATCACCCTTTGAATGACATTTTGCCTTAAAAAATATTCACAAATCAAAATTAGGAGAAAATCAGATTTTTTCCGAAATTTTTTCGCAATCTTTCTAACAAACTTGGAAAATCCCAGTATCAAACGTTCCCTTCAAGTTCCGGAACGTGAACCTGGTTTAATATTATGATGTTAAATGCATTGCATTCATTTGCTCGCATAACAGGAATGGTATGAATCCTTCACTTTTGAATGCTCCGAAAACCCACTCTTTTTTCATGTGTCATTTTTTTTAAGAAACCGAAGAATTAAAAAAACGTCGAATATGGATAGGGCCCGTGCTCATCTTCTAGGTCGTGTCTTTCTTGATAAGACCATCAATTTTCAATTCAGAGTTGCTTTAGAATCTGATTCTATGCTTTTGTACCTTGTGAATAAGCTTTATTCTACAAAACATCAACATTCACCGTGAAAATTTGTTCGACCATAATAAAAAAAGAGAACAAATTTTATGCCATGTTGAGTGCGCTTAATTGAAGAACAATTCCACATACCTCGTGGCTGTTGTGATTTTGTAGCTTTCTTTTCTCCAGTTCTAGTCACAAGCCGTCCTAGGGCAGAATATGTTTCCTCCCACATAAAAACACTTTAATGTCGTTCCCTTAGCATACATACTACGCTTGAGCACTTCTTATTCTTAATAATTACCCTGCCAAATCTATGACGCATCATATTTTCATAGTAAGATGCAAATTAAAATGAGGATTTTATCTAAAATAGATAGGAGGATAAAATATCGTAAAACGTGAAATCCTAAAATAAAAAAATCATAAAAAATCGTACAAGCGTTTGATATTTTGATGAAATCGTTTTGATTAAAAATAAATCATAAAATTATAAAAGCACAGATTTAAATCAGAATTTTAAGGCTTTAATGTTTCTAAAGTGAATGTAGATAAGTTATCTACATTCGCTCTCAAAATGACGTCGTTTTGAGTTGAAAAATTAAAAAATTATAATAAAAAAGACTTTTATAACCCTGAAATAAATTATAATTACAAAAATATCTTGATTTTCACCTCAAAACGACGTCGTTTTAGGTTCAATGTAGATAAGTTATCTACATTGACTGTAGAAAAATCGAACCCGAATTTTAATTACCATAAGTCTAATTACAAATGAATTGACCGAAAATAAAATATATTACAAATTCGATTGGTTTGGCCCATTGATTCTTTTCCTTTTAACTCAATCTTTGATTCAGCCCACTCTGGGCTGGCCCACACCCTAATTTATCTTAGTGGGCCTATTCATAGCTGATTTTGCTTATACACTGCTTGGAATATTGGAACCTCTAAGATCGAACCAACACGATACTGCACGGGTATGGATATGGATCTGGCCTATATATAGTATAGTGTCAACATATCCACCAAAATTAAGCCCAATGTAACGCAGAAGGGGAAAATAGGGGAAAAAGAAAAAAAGAAGCAGAAGCTTATTGAAGAAATACAAATTATTGCTTACTATCCTTAAGAAATTCTGTTGTTCTAAATAAAGAAAAAAGGGTATTAGAATTAGGTATATTTTTAAGAGAGAGAGAGAATGGTGAATAAGGAATCACATTTGAATTTTGATCATACACTTACTTTAGATAAAATTATACTGAGGAGACCAACGTGTAACATTGGGCATACTCGTTATAAGAGACAAGTTTTGCACTAAACCAACTTGATATTTTTCCTTTTGAATTGTTACACACAAACACATATATAAATATATTAAGAGTAAATACCCTTTTTAGTCCCTGACAATATTCACGAAGTCTTTTTTGGTCCCCAACAATAAAAAAGGCTCATTTTGATCCTTAATTTTACAAAAATAAGGCCACGTTAGTCCTTCAGTTAGCACTAACGTGTCTAACGTGTACCGTTAAGTGGCTGACTCACATTCCACGTAGGACCAAAATCGACGTCGTTGAGTCCCTTTTTTTTTCTTCTCTCCCACTTGCAGTACCAAAAGCGACATCGTTTAGGTACCTTTTAATATTTTTTTGTTTTTCCCTTTCTCTCTTCTTCTTCTCTCCAACATAAATCCCTACCACCCCCATCCCCTATTAAATTACAATTTACCACCACCACCATCTCCTGTAATGACTGTAGCCGCCATTATCATAACTGTCCGTTCCTGATGCCACCAGCGGACCCACCACCCCACTGCCCACAACTTGTCCTAGAGCTCCGCCGATGTATGCAGAACCCTTGCACCTGTGGGACTCATCTTCTAAAGTTCTCGCAAATCTCACCACTAGTTTCACATTCATCATCGACAAGGTGAATGATACCTCATATGGTGATGGCTTTGCCTTTTACTTGGCACCTCTTGGGTACCAGATTCCTCCAAACTCAGCAGGTGGCACTTTGGACTATTCAACGCCACCGCCAATAGCAACTTATCCAAAACTATGTTTTTGCTGTTGAGTTTGATACCTTCATAGGTTCAACTGACCCACCAATGAAACATGTGGGGATTGATGATAACTCTCTCACATCTGTGGCTTTTGCCATGTTTGATATTGACAACAACATTGGGAACCCTTGTCATGCTTTGATTACTTACACTGCATCCACCAATACTCTTGTTGTGTCTTGGTACTTCCATGGAAACACAAGCAAAAACACAAGCATAAATTCTTCTCTTTCTTATCAGGTTGACTTCACGAAGATTCTACCAGAGTGGGTGAATGTTGGGTTTTCAGCTTCAACTAGCCTTGCCACATAACGAAATGTTATACAGTCTTGGAAGTTTAGCTCAACTTTGAACTCCATTGGTGTGAACAGAACAAACAAGAAGTCCAACACAGTTGTGCTAGTTGTTGCTGGGATTTGTCCAGTGATTTTGGTGCTCTTAGTGGCTAGTTTTTCTTATTGGTAATTCACGACCTCAGTGATTTTTGATTTGGATAAAGCAACTACACCTTGATGAGTATGGCTTTGTAAAATCATTTTCACATCCTCCTCAAACCCAACAGCAAGCATCTGATTTGCTTCATCAAAGACCAAATACTGAACTTCACTCAGTCTAAGGTTGTTCCCTTTTAATGCAGGCACTAATACAACTCTCTACACCCAAAAAAAAATGATACAAGTTAGACAATCAACACTATGAGACATGGTAAAGGCATAGCGCATAATTTTGGAATAAAAGTAGTTCAAATGCATACTTACAAGAATGAAGTTGAAAAAACACGAAATTAACCAAAAGCAATAAGCATATGCAAGATATTAGTAAATTCACATTTCATAAAAAAAAAAAAGCATCTGTACATTTGAGAGATAAGTGAAAGCATAGAAAAACACATGTTATCATGAAGCAATAAGTAGTTATATTATAACATTATCTACACATGTTGTTGTTGAAAAGTTAGAAAATAATAATAATAATAATAATAATAATGGAGACCTGAATGGGGAAAAAGCTAGTGATTCCATGCTTCTGGAGGGAATCGACAAGGTGCGAAGGCAAACTAAGCTTGGAAATGTCAAGCTCGTCGACACTGACGCTAACAGGGGTCTCTGGTTCATAACCATAGCCAAATTAGTCGTCACCAGTAACATTATCCAAAAGCTCCAACGCTTCTTCGGTGAGGATGGAAGAGTTGGGAGTGGCAATGGCGGAAGGAACAAAACAAAGTGTGGGTTTGTTGGTGTTTGCACGGAGGACGGTGTTGAAGCAACAAAACTTGTTGTCCAACGACGATTGCAAAGAAACGGAGGGTGTTGGCGTTGCCCTTTTATGCAGTTCAAAGAGGGGGATTGGTATATGGAAGAAACACCTAAAATGGAAGAGAGAATAAGAAGAAGAAAAAAAGTACCCAACGACGTCGTTTTGGTCCTACGTGGAATGTGAGTCAGCCACTTAACGGTACACGTCAGACACGTTAGTGACGCCGTCATAGCTCAACTAACATAAGGACTAACGTGACCTTATTTTTGTAAAATTAAGGACCAAAATGAGCATTTTTTATTGTTGGGGACCAAAAGGGACCTCGTGAAAATTGTCAGGGATGAAAAAGGGTATTTACTCATATATTAATTACACAAAGCAAAAATTTTGCAAATGGGAAAGGGACATGTCGGAGATAAAAAAAGGATTCGTACTTGCAAATTTAGATTCTTCATTAACTTTCTAATGTTGTAGTATATCCATGTGGACCACTTCAATCATATCAAGCCCAAGAAGACACTAGTAATATCAAGACCAAAAGGAATACTTGCACGCCGAAGCGTTTTGAAGATTTCATATTGGGTTGATTTTTATTTCATTGTAAACAATTTACAATTTTCCTTATTTGTTAAATTTCAGAATATATAACAAAAATGAAAAGATAGAAAAAGCAGAAAATTATTGGACAATTATATCTCTTTACTTTTCTCTCATATATTCTCTCTTCTTCTTATTTCTAAACCCTCAACCTTATAATTTGCTGCTTTTATTGTTGTCTCTCCTCTTATAGTAGAGAATATTTGGATGAGAGATATGCAACAACAAATCAATGATATCGCCAATAGCTTCAGGCTGTGAAATTAAGACTAGAAGCAGCTGAACAAACAATCGCACAACAAATCACTACATGGAAGGTGGCTTATGATCATCAATTTGATGCTATGGAGAACCAACAAAATAAATGATTTAATGAAATGAGGGCAGGTTTGCAACGATCTATGCAAAAGAACCCTAACACTGGTGTTATTCAGAGTCTCAGTTGTCAACATGGGATATTGGGTCCAAGCCCTAGAGGACGATCCGTAAGGTTAGATTTACCCAGATTTGAATATGGAGATCCAACTCGTTGGCTTTTTGCAATAGAACGTTACTTTACTTATTATCAAACACTTGAGGGTAATAAACTCTTATTGTCTTCTTTTCACTTGGATGATCCAACGGCTAATTAGTTCCAAGGCATATCCAGGGATGGTTTAATCCCTACTTGGAATGCCTTTGTTCTAGCCATCAAATAAAGGTTTGGTCAACAGAATTTGAAGACCCAGCTTCCCTTTTTACAAAATTGTAGTAAACAACTACCGCTCAGGAGTATCATATGTCCTTTGAATGCATTTCCAATTGAGTACCAGGATTATCATCTGCCCTCACTAAGAGTATGTTCTTTTTTGGGTTGAAGCTCAAAATTTATAGCTCAATAACTCCTCATTATACGATTGATGTTCACCAAGCTTTTACTCTGGTAAGGGTTTATAAAGACCAACTGAATCTAAATAAGACTCTGAAACCATGGTCTCTTAAGCCTAACATATCAATGCAACCCTAGCACTGACATCAGAACATGTTCAGGTAAAACAAACTAACCTCATTGCAGCCATTGCAATTAAACATCTAACTCCTATGGATATGCAATCTAGGAGAGAGAAAGGACTTTGTTTCAATAGAGATGAGAAATATATTTTAGGCCACAAGTGTAAGGCTAAGGCTACTTTGCTATATATGGTTGGTATTGAGGGAGAAATTGAGGAAGGCAAGACCATGGACACTTCCACACCCTAAATTGAATTTCTAGAGGAAACTAATTCTCATCCAAAAATTAGTTACAATTCTCTTTTTGGCCATCGTAATTATAGGTTCTTTCGTTTGCAAGTGGCCCACTCACTACAAGTTCTAATTGATGGGGGAAGTGCCCACAACTTCATTACCTTACATATGGCCTCATATCTAAATCTCACATTACATGTCATTTCCCCTTTCATAGTTCAAGTTGGGAATGGTAATACATTGCTTTACTCTACTAAATGTTTAGAAGTACCACTATTAATGCAATCTGAGTTCTTCTCTGTTGATTTGTTTGTTATTGAACTCAAAAGAGCTGACATTGTTCCTGGGGTACAATGGTTAGCTACATTAGGTCCTATTATGACAAATTATCAAAAGCTTACAATGTCCTTCACGTGAGGTAATTCTAATGTTATGTTTCAAGGTTACCTCCATTTGGATCCTGCTACAATTTCACTATCACAATTAAATAGGTTGTGGTTCAAAATTCCGTTTACTCTTGCTTTATGTGCTTTACTACAAGTAATATTGCCAACATTGAATCTAGAGCTGCAATTCTGGTTCCAGTTGCATAGACTTCTACTGTTCCTGACCAAGCCATTCAACAATTATTGCACGACTTTGTAGACATTTTTGCTACACCCCCTTCACTCCCCCTGATAAAGATACTAATCGTAGAATTGTCCTCAAATATGATGCTAAACTTATTCAGGAAAAACACTATTGTTATCCTTATTTCCAAAAAAGTAAAATTGAACAATTAGTTAAGGAAATGTTGGCAGCAAGACTTATTAAAGCAAGTTAGTCCTCCTTCAGTTCTCCTGTTCTGTTGGTTAAAAAAAGGATGACACTTGGAGCTTTCGCGTCAATTACAGGGCAATGAACGCAGTCACCATTAGGGATAAGTTTCTAATACCTACAATTGATGAGCCGTGGATGGACTATATGGTGATACCATTTTTTTGAAGTTCGACTTGCATTCGGTTATCATTAGATTCGTACGGAAGCTGCGGACATCCACAAGACCTCATTCAAGACGCATCGTGGACACTTTGAATTAGTGGTGATGCCCTTTGGGCTATTGAATACCCCCTATACATTTCAAGCCACAATTGTAACACCCCGTTCTAGAACCGGTTTGTTAACATCGCATTATGATATTAAGCGCAGTTACAATCACATGGGTTCAATTAAAATCCGGTTAAATTTTTCATTTTAAAACATGCCGAATTTATAATGCCCAATTGCGTGATCATAACCATATTACTTTGCGGAATCAGATAAACCAAGCTTAACATCATGTTCTTATTCCATTTTTAAACCATTAATTTACTTCTTATTTATTTCCCAACTTCTACTATGTTGTAGATCTCTTCGTTAGCTACTCGTGGTTTCAAACCGCTCCTCATTTGGAGCCCTGTAGCTCAAGTTATGACAATTTTACTAACTTAGGGGTATGCTGAAAAACTACGCGGGCAGGGCGCTTAAGCGCGCTCCAGGGAGCTTAAGCGCCCACAGACAGAGGGAATTTACATTTTTAGCCACCAAGGGCGCTTAAGCTCGCTCCAGGGCGCTTAAGCGCGCTACCTGGGCGCTTAAGCCCCCATTTTGGGCGCTAAAGCCCCAGGCGGCAGAAAGCTTTTGGTCTTCACAGGTGCATCAGGGCGCTTAAGCCCCCTGAGCAGGCTTAAGCCTCCATTTGCAGGCTTAAGCCCCCTCTTCTGGGCAATTTCCTATACTCATATTTTTCATGTATCTTTCTTGGGGAATCAATCCTACACATTTTACAACCTATTTAACAAGCTTGTGATATCCCTATATCATTGCTTAACTCTCATCCTCTCATCATTGATTTAACGGAAATTGGGCAGCATAACCTTTGTTTTCTCAACGTTTCCCAATCTAACAGCTTAGCTCCTAATAGACAATTCAGTTCAACATTTCCAATATTCATCATGCATCCATAACCTTGAAGTAAATAACATTACACAAGTTTAATTACATAACGGGGAACTTAGCTACAAAAGGCTATGACCATCCCTTGGCTCTCATCAACAAAAGAGATATCCAAAGGCATGATCATAGGCTAAGTCCATCAAATATAACGAGATATACATACGTCAATGCTATCAATGATCAATCCTATACATGTAAATCTACAAAATATCATGTATGACCTCAAAACATCGTTTTCTTCATGCATGATCTACTGCAAA